TCAAAATTGAATATTCTTAACGTAATAGAAAATTTAAAACTATAGCTTCATAATTGGATGTCAGACTCAGTCAGCAATGACTTAACTATCCAGTTGCACCTCAGAGATAATTTGACTCAGCTCTATCTGACCAGCTGCACAATGGTCGCACACATATCTTGTTCTGCTAGTCTGTTTCAAGGACTATCTGGCCGAGAAGGCTAGACCAGTAATCTTACCTGCTTGCCCAGTCCCTGACTTCCTCCAGAACTTCCTGACTTATGATGAATGACCCCTTCCAATTACACCTGCCTTGGACGTCTGCCTGACAACATGTGACCAAACATATGAAACCAAGTATAGACTAACACTGTGGACGCTGTACTTCCTGCTTACAAAATGTATATAAATTGTGACTTTAAGCCAGGGCTGATGACTTGGACCTAGTTCCAGCCAGTCTGCTGGCATAAATAAAAGTTGCCTTCTAATTCCTGGGTGTAGAGCATTTTCCATCTGGTTCAGTACAGATTCTGCAACATTAACAGTTTCCTAATTCTTTCTTCACTCTGAATGACTCTGTATTCCATGTGTAAGATAAAATTCTGGTCCTTATCCAGGCAGTGTAGATGAAAACCTGTCCTAGGGTAGGTACTGAGTGAAAGACGTTAATTCCTGGGAAAGAAGCATGTGGTTCTAAGACTCCCAAGTGAGTCTGAGTAGGTTCCCATCAGCCCACAGGGATAAACATCAAGAAAAATAGATCATTTAGAAACAACTACTGTGAGAGGGAGAGAGAATGACATGTCTCTAGGTCTTAGGGTTTCAGTCTGGGAAGACATACTTTAAAAAAGTATTGTTGGGGCCGGGGAGATGGCTCAGTAGGATAAGCGCTTGACTGGCAAACGCAAGGATCTGAGTTCAATCCCCGGTTCTGAAAAAAAAAAAAAAAAAAAGTATTGTGGAAAATATTCATACTGTAAAACTCACCATCTTAGTCATTTCTAAGGATGTAGCTTAGTGGCACTGCATATATGATACACATTCTGCAGCAGTCACACCATGTATCTTAAGAACTTTTCATCTTCCCAAACTGACATTCTGTCACCACCAACTCCCCATGTCCTTCCCCAGTTCCTGTGCCCTTCATTCTATTCTGTCTTCATATAGCCAACTTCTCTGAGGACTTCATATAAGTGAAATTATACAGTATTTATCTTTGTATGTCTGCCATACTTCACCAAATGTAATGTCTTCAAAGTTCATCTAAGTTGTAGTATGTGACATATGTCCTTCCTTTTTAGGGCTTAGTTATATTCTTTTATAAAACTTTTATTTTAATTTATTAGCTGTATTGGAGATTGAACCCAAAGCCCAGGATGCTACATCCCCAGGTCTTTTTATAATTTTTATTTTGAAACAAAGTCTCATTGATAAGTTGCCCATTTGGGGCTTGAATTTGTAATCCTCCTTACTTGGCCTCCCATAGTGCTGGGATATCAGGCATCCACATATGTGTACACCATATTTTGTTTATTCATTCAACTGAGGATGGACACTTATGCTGCTTTCCTCTGTGGCTATTAATGCTACTGATCTAGGGGAATGAAATTCCCAACCAGAAAGGTACCTGTGATGAGTTCATGTTCTCTAAAACCTAAGAATGAGTTTTAGGAGCAAACGGAGGTTAAGAGCAGAATATATTTTTTGGAGAAAGAAAGCTTCTGTCCAAGAGAGAAACAGAAGGGAGGCCCAAGTGCATTGTCCCTAGGAAGCTGTTTGTTTTATAGAGACTTTTATAGAGTAAAACCATGCAGTGATGTGGGTATAAGGTGGACAACATGGGAACTCCCTTAGGTGGGCAGGAGGTGGGACAAAGCTATGGTCAACCAATGAGATAGCAAGCACCATTGCTCAGATAAAATTGATTAAATCCAGATCCAGGGGCTGGGGAGATAGCTCAGTGGAGTAAGTGCTTGCCTGGCAAGCACAAGGTCCTGAGTCCCTGGTAACACACACACACACACACACACACACACACACACACACACACGAAGTAAAATAATAATAAAATAAATAAATCTAGAACCAAATGGTGAAGCAAGTCATGTAGCAAGCTGGCACAAATATAAAACAGGAGTTTATCTGGTAGCCAGCTGGTAGCAGTTGGATCCGTGACTCTTCCTGGCTTCCTCAAGGTGATGATCAATCCCAGATGCTTATCTTTAGGGAGGGAAGCATTTGTTCAAACTTTGGTCTTTAAGTCTGGCCCGCAGCAGGAGCATCCATCTCTCTCACAGTTGCAAGGTATCTTGTCTTCTGTGCTGTCTCCTTGAGGGCCTAGCCCTGTCTGACTTCCTGTAGTATTTCTATCTAATTTAGTTCCCATGTTTTCCACCATAGACACACTTCACCACATGGTTTTGTTCTATAAAAATCCTTGGAAGAGACAGATTCTGGGGCAATCCACTCAGGTACCCCTTTTGTCCCACTCTCAGACAGAAGCTTTCTTTCCCTCTTAACCTCTGTTTGTTCCTAAAATACACTCTTTTTTTGGGGGGGAGGGGATGAAACCAGGGATTGAACTCAGGCCCTTGCGCTTGCCAGGGAAGCACTTATTCTACTGAGCCATCTCCCCGGCCAAAGGGGCTGCTTTAGAGGAGAGCGGCACAAGGAGATAGTCAAAGGATTTTCAGCTTTCTACATTTCTAGGTCAAGACACCTGCAGCCCAGGCTGCTCCCTATCTTGTTACATTGACATAACCCACAGAGCATAATCTGTGGAGTACATGTACATTAGTTAGAATTATATCTGGCACTTGTTGGCAACAGGTTCTGACTGAATCCAGCTCTAAGGTGCTTACCATCTCCCCAATGTTCCTGATCAAGGCAGCAGGTGTCAGAAGCACCTTATGACTGAACTGAGTGGATTCCCCCACAAACAGACTGGGGAGCAGCCTCATGCCCTCAAGGCATCTGGAAAATTGCTTGTTTAGTCTCCTCACCCTGCCCCTAAGCACTTGTATATTGCACCAGCAGGCATGGGTCTTGCCTTGACTATGCTGTAACTGGAGTGAAATTGCAAAATGTTTTTCCAGAAGAAAGAACAGAAGGAGAGAGGGAGGGAATGCTGTCTGACTAGTTAGTACCTGTGAACTGAAGCCTCACCCAAAGCCCAACCCATGTCCTTGCTCTAAGTCCAATCACCACCCTTCCCCAGAACTTTCTCCAGAGCTGTGTGCAGCAGCTGCAGGGGTCCTGTCTCTCTCCTGAATCATTTCCCCTCTTCTTTCCCTAAGTTGTTGCCTTGATGGAGCACAAGTCTTTGAAACTGAAGTATGCTTCCTACAAACACTGTAGTCTTGGACTATAGTCTCTCATTACCCAGTGTCTTCTGTGGGCGGCTGTTAGCTTTGCTCCCCACCCTTCCTCTAACCTTCTCACAGCTGCCTTCAAAGGGAAACCAGACACTGTGTAACAGAATCTCTCACTTCAGTCCATTGCTGGAGGAACCCAGGCCCTACACCTGGCCATTGCACCTCTTGGGCAGCTTCCACAATTCCTGACTCCAGAACTCAGTGCTTCCAGGGCAGGTCTCTTGGAGAAAAAAAAAAAAAAAAAAAAAAAGAAAGAAAGAAAGAAAGAAAGAAAACACAAAAGGGACACAGAAAATGACAAAATAGCCATGCTATTAAAACA